TCCCTTCTCCCTCTCTTACTCTCACCCTACCTCCCTCCATTTTCCTTTCCTTTCTTCCCCTCTTACTCGTTCCATCCCTTCCCTTCCCCTTTCCCTCCATCCTTTCTCTCTTTTCCCTCTCTTACTCTCACCCTACCTCCCTCCCTTTTCACTTCCTTCCTTCCTCTCTTACTCCCTCCATCCTTTCCCTCCTCCCACTTCCCCCCCTTCATCCTCCTCTTCATACTCTAGTAGACACAAAGGACGTAGCGGCGAAAGAGGTGTAGGAGCGAGAAAAGTACGTTCCGCCGCCCACGAAAACGCCAGTCAAAGGTGGGCTGGTTTGTGGTTCGCTGTGGGGTACAATTTCGTTTCTGGTTCTCTCTTGGATGTATTTTCGTTCGTGGTTTTCTGTTCGTCACATTTTCTTCTTCGTTTTCTTACAGGAACTTCCCTCGCTGTTTTTTGTTGGATACATTTTCTTCTTGACTTTCCTACGGTATTTCTTCTAGTTGTTTTCAGTTGCATGCATTTTAATCTTTGTTTTCTGTTGGATACATTTTCTTTGTTTTCATACAAGGTTTTCTTGCTGGCTATATAGATTCGTTTTCCTCTTTGTTTTCCAACGGGAATTTCCCCTGGTTGCTTCCTACTGGCTAAGTCCTCCTCGCCCGCATTTAGTTTGATGCAGGATACGTATCATTGACTCCAGTAATGGTATAATAGCTCTGAGTAACCCCGCTGTTGGTATTTGAAGGTGATTCTTATTTCCGGGATATATATTTTTGGTTCTATTGGGACCTGCAGATTTTTTTTCCCCTTTTTTTTTTGGGGGGGGGGCGTCTCAGACGTTCTTCTGTTCACGATTATTGTTATCTGTATTCTTCGATTTTCTCTTCTCCTTTCACGTTCTTATAAGATCTCTCTCTCTCTCTCTCTCTCTCTCTCTCTCTCTCTCTCTCTCTCTCTCTCTCTCTCTCTCTCTCTCTCTTCTCTCTCTCCTCGATCTCTCTCTCTCCTCTCTCTCTCTCTCTCTCTCTCTCTCTCTCTCTCTCTCCTCTCCCTCACTGCCACTCCCCTCCCACTCCCTCTCTTTCTCTCCCTCCCCATCCCACTCCCTCACCTTCACATAAAGATACATTCACATTCATAAAAATCCATCCTGCTCAGCCCAAAAAGGAACCACACGACAACCGCAGCGTCTCCGGCGAATACCCCGCACGCAGAGTCCATGCGTAAGAAATTGGTTCAACAGCCCGTAGATTTGCCGTCTCTGCTCCCACGGATTATTTACGCAGATCTCGGGGTTTCGTATCGACAAACTGAGTATATCGCGACGGAGGAACGAGAGCAAATTATGTATATTATATATATATATATATATATATATATATATGGTGTGTGTGTGTGTGTGTGTGTGTGTGTGTGTGTGTGTGTGTGTGTGTGTGTGTGTGTGTGTGTGTGTGTGTGTGTGTGTGTGTGTTCTCCTGTAGCGTCTGATTTATATGTATATTCTCCTGTGGCGTCTGATTTTAATGTATGGTCCAGATGTGATGCCATTGCAATAACATGCGGTGACAAATGGCGTATATAACATTACCAGACCGGATATATATGTGAACTAGTTGCAACAACAGCTGATACAAATCAGGATACACAGTATTATGATGTAGTGTCCGAATACTGAGGCGGCGTTCTCGTACTTTTATAAAGGGAGAGAGAGGAGAGAGAGAGAGAGAGGAGAGAGAGAGAGAGAGAGAGGAGAGGAGAGAGAGAGAGAGAGAGAGAGGAGAGAGAGAGAGAGAGAGAGAGAGAGAGAGAGAGAGAGAGAGAGAGAGAGAGAGAAGAGAGAGAGAGAGAGAGAGAGAGAGAGAGAGAGAGAGAGAGAGAGAGAGAGAGAGAGAGAGAGAGAGAGAGAGAGAGAGAGAGAGAGAGGAGAGAGAGAGAGAAGAGAGAGAGAGAGAGAGAGAGAGAGAGAGAGAGAGAGGAGAGAGAGAGAGAGAGAGCCAAGCAATCCACATATACGTTTCGAATGAATGATTATTCTACATTGAAATAAAGATGACGGTAGTACATATAAGAGAAATGCAACTCAATATGAGCGTTAAAATGCTCATACGATAACCTGTCATGATCACGGACTTAAGAAAACTACAGTTCATATTCTACTGACAAAATAGTAGTCTGCTTAAATCTCTCAAGTCCTTTAACACTAACGCAAGTCCAAGAAGTCCTATTCTTACGTGATTTAAAAAAAAGCCAAGAGTCATGTCTTCTTTTCAAGGATTCATGATTCGCGGGTCCAGTGTGTTTGTGTTCACGTGACCGCGAAGACTATGCCGCTCTGACCTCGGTTGGAGCTCTTACGGAATACAAATGAAGCAGGACTTGGGAAAATTTTGCATGCAATAATATTGATGATGGTTATGTTATGAGAGAGAGAGAGAGAGAGAGAGAGAGAGAGAGAGGAGAGAGAGAGAGAGAGAGAGAGAGAGAGAGAGAGAGAGAGAGAGAGAGAGAG